TTTATGATGTAATTATGCCTCACTAAGTCTATGACTTAGCGTGTAAGTGTTTTTACACGTAGGTTTAGAAGAGCAGGAGAATCAAGAATAGGAATTTGCAGATCAACCTATCTCTACTCAGCGATCAGATCAGAAGTAAAGTCACAGTAGGTATTTTGTTGTATGTAGTGTGTTGGCATGTAAGAACAGTGTTAGTTCAAATGCTCTGATTAGTTTTGTCTTATTTTGGTTAACTCGTGTGCAGTGACAATGTTATTTTAATCAAAGTTTTAAATTTCATTGGTTTTCGTTAAAAGATTAAAGTTTGAAAAGTCAATGTGACACCTCAGACTTGTATCCGGGTCGGATACGGGTTGAAGGTGTTACATTTAATGGTATCAGAGCTACGGTTTAGTCGATTCTCGGCATAAACCGGAGTCCATAGTGTCTTAAAAAGTGTTCATGCCAACACAGTAGTAAGAACTTCTGATCTGATACGAATAATGAGTATGTTGTTTAGCTAATAGAAATATTTGGTTATCTCTTATTAGATGTCCGGACAAGATAGCTCTCGGGGTGAAGCGAGAGATGATAGATTAGCTGAAAGTAGTAATTCACCTGCCCTGGCCAGGCAAGGTGAAGGACAGGCACCCTCTGGAGTGCCTGTACAAGATCAAAATGTATTTTTCAGGACGTTAGGCACTATTTTGACACGTTTCCAAACTCCTGCATCCTCAACGCAGAGGATTAATATAGCCAAAGAGTTAAAAGGATTAGGAGCTCCAGAGTTCAAAGGTGAAGCCGAAGAAGGTCCTGTTGTTGCGGACCTTTGGCTTAATGATGTAAAGATCATGTTAGAGGGACTCCACTGCTCTGATATGGAGAAACTAGACGGGATGGTCTCTTTGCTCCGTGGGCAAGCAAGAATCTGGTGGACGAATGTTATTCATAGGATGCCAAATGATCAGAAAACATGGTATTTATTTTTAGAAGAGTTTAAGCACAAGTATATAGGAGATCAGTTCATCAGGAAATGAAGCAAGAATTCTTGAATTTGAAACAGCTGAATCGCACAGTGTATGAATATGAGTGTGAATTCAACAAGTTAAGTCGATTTGCGGCCGAATTGATTCGGACAGAGAAAGAAGCATGTGAGTGGTTTATTGAAGGACTACGACCAAGGCTAAAAGAGATGTTGAATGTTTTGAACTTGTCCTCATTTCAGGAAGTAGTAAATCGTGCTAAAGCTCTAGAAAGAGCTCAGAACGAGCGGTTTGGGGATCAGAAAGCTCAATCTTCCAAAAGAACGGGGGCTTCGTCGAGCTCTGTACCACCCAAGAGAGGTAGAGATTCTGGGTTCCAATACCAAGTAAGGCCTGAATCAGTGGTATCCTCTGCTAGAGGATCAAATCAGATGAGAGCTAGACAGACTCAATTAGGAAAGTCTGGTGATGGAAGAGCACAACAGAGACACTGTCAGATTTGTGAGAGATATCATGGTGGGGCATGTAGAGTTGAATCTGGAGCCTGTTTTCGATGTGGGGAAATAGGAAATTTCATGAGAGATTGTCCACTGGGGACAGGAAAGCCTCTGCAGTCGGAGCGATCTGCTTCGATATCCCAGAGAGGACGGGGTAGAGGTAGAGGAAGAAGTCAGACAGAATTTTCTACTCAACAGGAAATGCGCTCTACGGCTAGAGTATAATCTCAATATCAGTGAAGACAATGAGGATCCAGAGATAATAGCAGGTATCTTCTATTGTACAGTAAATGCTTTATGATATTAGTTGATATGAGCTTGTATAACCATATAAGAGTAGAGAATGGGTGAAAGAATTGAGAATTCAATTAGAAATTATTCATAGTAATATGACAGTGACAAATTTATTAGAGTACAGTGTGTGGATAAGTAAGATATATTGAAAGTGTCCCATTATAATGTTAGAGGATTTATATCATTCTGAAATAGAATAGTTTCTTTGCTGCATTGATAAGATAAGGTATAGGGGATGATTCTTATAAGGAGAATATTAAAAGATCAAATGATGCAGAATATTGTTATAGAAAAGTTTAAGAATATGTACATTAGTGATCAGTTTATAAGACAAAGGAAAATGGAATGGTTGAATCTGAACCATAAAAAAAATAATAATAATAAATATAGATGGATTATTGGTATGGAGTGATGAAAATAGAGGTTACTGTCTATATAATGAGTTACATTATATGGATTTTAGAAAGGTTAAAGTAAAATGCATTGGAGATGTGTAGATAATATCTTATCTCCTAGTGCAATGAAAATTCGAGGACGAATTTTCTTAAGGGGAGGAGATTTGTAACATCCCAAAATACGGGTTAGTGACCAAAAGTGTAAAATTTCAGAATATGGTGATTAAAGTATAATAGTTTAATAGTTTAATGATTTGTTCGGAAATATTTCCTAAAAGTTTATAGTAATTATCCAAAGAATTAAAGGGCAAAATGGTCATTAGACTTGAAAATTATAATTAAATGATATATATATATATATATATATATGGATAAGGAGGGGAGATTTTCCAGAAAAATCTCTTCTCTCTTTTCTTCTTCATTTTCTCTTCTCCACGTGTGAAGCCAAGCAAAGGTGAGTTTTCTCTTGAACTGGTTATGTGCTGAAATTTAAGTTTAGTTTTGATTATTAGATGCTAAGTAAGATTAAGGAAGGATTAATTTGCTTTAAAACAACAAAATGAAGAGTTTATGAGGATTTAAAGATTTGAAGTTTTTGAATGAAATATCGAAATAAAGTTTATATTGAGAATTGGAAGTTGAATTTGACTTGTCATCAAGTCAATTAAGGGATAGGAAGTGTTAGAATAGGAATTTGAACATGTTGCAAAACTAGTATAATTTTTGCAATTACATAGGAATGATTAGATTTGAAGTTAAAGAAGTGATTAGGGAATAAGAATAAGTTTAAGTATGTGTATTAAAGTTAGGAGTATTAAAGGAAGTGAAATAGGAAGGTTTGAGCTGAAATAAGGTGATTTTCGAGCTCAAAATGAGATTTCTGGGCTAGGGGAATCGGTACCCATTCAAGGGGAATCGATTCCCCCTCAAACGAGTATGAATTCCAGAATGCTGGGGGGGAATCGATACCCCCAAGGGGGGGGACCGATTCCCCCATAATGAAAAAAAAAAAAAAAAAAAGAGAGACTAAACTATTAATCCCTTAAATTGGTAGGATATTAGAGGTTAATTTCAAGACTTGGGCATCTGATAATCATCTTGAAAATTATGCTTATGAAGATATGGAACGTGACTTTGTTTCAAAGTAAACGAAGGGTTAGAATTGATTCAATTCAAACAAGGCTAAGGTGAGTGCATGTGCATAACATGATTATGTTAGTATATTCAGTTTTAGAACTGCGATAAGTCTAGATTTAATATCTTGATACATGATTCATTCAATATTATTAAATATGATATGAATTCATACCATATACATTATGGGATATACTATGCAGATTGTGGTAAGTCTATGTTCCAGATTAGAGCTTATATATGAATGAGTTACGAGATATCTATATTAGGTATATGAAGTGAGTGTGCTGTGTTTGTTATGGTTTATATGTATGAATGAGCATATGTATTGACATGTTACATATATATATATATATATATATATATATATATATATATTATGAGTTGTGTAAATATGTAGATAAATGTGTTAAATATGTGAAATAGTTAAAATGATCAATATGATTTCATAAGAATATGAAATAAGAAGTATGAAAAGGACATAAGAAAGAATATGAAATATACATAATATGAATATGAAATCATATGAGGGATGACATGTATGTATGTATGTATGTATGTAATGGTTATATGAAAAGGTATAGGTAATAAGATGATCATATGAACATGTGATAAAGAGCTATAGAAAAAGAAAAATGTGATATGATGTATGAATATGTATAAGGTAAAAGACAATGCCATGAGATGAGTTATGAGAACTGTAAGTATAGTTGGTATGCCAAGAGTCAAAGAACTACCTATGTCTTTCGAGACATATGGACAGTATACCTATGTTCTAAGGAACATATGGATAGTTTACCTAGGTTCTTCGGGACCTATGGATAGTTACCGAGGATCTTTATGACCTCTGGATAGTTACCGAGGATCTTTATGACCTCTGGATAGTTACCGAGGATCTTTATGACCTCTGGATAGTTACCGAGGATCTTTATGACCTCTGGATAGTTACCGAGGATCTTTATGACCTCTGGATAGTTACCGAGGATCTTTATGACCTCTGGATAGTTACCGAGGATCTTTATGACCTCTGGATAGTTACCGAGGATCTTTATGACCTCTGGATAGTTACCGAGGATCTTTATGACCTCTGGATAGGTCCTTCGGAAAAATTCATGGAGCTGTGGGGACAGCATACGTGTGCACAATCTCATAATACTCGTATACCTTGGGTTCTCAATAGTGTATATGGACTTAAATAAGACATAACGATGATGTATATACTTGTATCTTAATATGATATTATTACGATTTGTATTGGCTCATATGTGGTATAATAAATGATAGTATGATAGTATAATTGTGTTTGGATAGTAGACGACATGGTTATATTTTAATAATTCTTTATGATGTAATTATGCCTCACTAAGTCTATGACTTAGCGTGTAAGTGTTTTTACACGTAGGTTTCGAAGAGCAGGAGAATCAAGAATAGGAATTTACAGATCAACCTATCTCTACTCAGCGATCAGATCAGAAGTAAAGTCACAGTAGGTATTTTGTTGTATGTAGTGTGTTGGCATGTAAGAACAGTGTTAGTTCAAATGCTCTGATTAGTTTTGTCTTATTTTGGTTAACTCGTGTGCAGTGACAATGTTATTTTAATCAAAGTTTTAAATTTCATTGGTTTTCGTTAAAAGATTAAAGTTTGAAAAGTCAATGTGACACCTCAGACTTGTATCCGGGTCGGATACGGGTTGAGGGTGTTACAACATGGTTATTTCATTTCTTTGCAAGCAACTTCTTTGGAAGCTTAGACTTTAGCAAGAAAAGACGGGCAGCTCGCTCTTGCAATGTACCACCACATTTAAGCCCGCGTTCCTGCAGTTCAGATTTCAACCGCTCCAATTCAAGAACCTTTAGAAATGATAAAAATAGTTAATGATGTATCATCGTTAAGCATTATAAAAGCAACTGCATCACCACGAGGCCCATGACAATTCAATTCATATGCTGATTTTAAATTTCACTCCATGATATCTTTTCTTCAATTATTAAATTTGTCTGGTCCAGTAACTTTGAACACAAGAACATGAAGACAAAGCTAAAATAACATCAAATAGCTACGGCCAAATTTACTTGGGCTAAAGGAAAGCATTTGATAAAATTGCAACCACAAACCGCTGAATATCCTATATCATCTAGGTATGCAATCATTGAGTTGGTTGAAAGCAGTATTTTTCTAACGAGCTCGATGTATCAATGGTATTGATTTTTATTAGTATTAAGCTCAGGAAACAGGTAAAGAACTTCAAGTGTTCAACCATACCTCCATCTCTTCTGAAGAATTGAAGTCGTTAAAGTTCAATGGCTTTTCTGGTTCTGTAATGTTAGCATTTGAAACTATTGTTTCTTTGTGAACTTCTGATTTCGGTTTAGAAGAGCAATTGACTTCATTATTAAGTTCAATTCCAACTCCTCCATTTTTTGCAACTGGAACACTGGAATGTTGACCAAATATTTCCACCGGATCTTCCGTTTTAGTTCCATTATGTTCCAGCATCCCATCAGCTTGAGCTGCTTCACTTCCAGCAATGGCATCTCCTTCAACCATGGCAGGAGCATCTTCAGCACAAGATTCCGAGCTTTGCTGCAGAACAACCTCTTTTTCTTCCTCAGAGCCAGGCTCACTTGAGGCTCCACCTGAAAATTCCATATCCTGATTCCCCCCGAAACCAAACCAGAACTCTGGATAAGGTATGGAAGAATCATTTGTGGTGGTCTATAAGTCTGAGTCTGCGTCTGAGTCTGCTTCTGATGGAAGTGGGACGCATTTACCATCACCAGAAGGTGGTCCAAGCAGTTCTTTACAGCCGAACAACTCTGGATTTCATTCGACTATCACTTTCCTCAAAAATGCATTTGAGATTGCCACAACTCAGACACAGGTATTGCTTTCTGGCTTTTCTAATTTGGCTTTTTAGTTGTTGCAGGGAGGATATATATATATATATATTTTCATACTTCTTCCTCGGGGAATTTTTAGGTTGAGCAACCGTTATGCCTTGAATGCATGAGAGTGTTGTCTGACAAACTTGATAAGGAGGTTGAAGATGTGACCAGGGACATTGAAGCTTATGAAGCCTGTCTTCAGCGATTGGAGGGGGAACCACAAGATGCTCTCAGTGAGGCAGATTTTCGCAAGGAGAAATTAAAGGTAGCTGTTTGGTAGTCTCTATGAGTAACTTATATGCTAAAGGATAAAAATTATGGTTCTCATACTAGTGCTTAATCTACCTAGTGGATCGCTAAAGGATTTTTAATATATTTTTTATGTCTGGTCTGGACACTAGTTTTTAGTTCAGTAAAAATATGAATAAATTTTGGGTTTCAAAATAGGATTGTTAAATCTCTGAGGTATCCAAGATGCTGTCATTGGTTAACTGGATGAGTCTCTTTGAATTAGCCAAAAAAAATCCATAAAAATAACTTCTCCCAAAGTTAATCTGCAATATAATATTGAAGGAATATGAATAGTAGACCAGAATACTAGTAAATGATCATTCATCATAATCATATAAGCATCAACTTTATTGTAGTGTACCAACACTTTTGTTTTCCCTGTTTTACCTTTTTCGATCTCCTTTTTAAAACTAGAATGCAAAGCACACCTTGGTTTGTATATAGCCAACCAGGGTCTTTTTTAATTATCAGATCCTTGTGCTTGTTGGAATCAATGTGTAACAGGCATTGGCAAGAATTTAACATTTTTCAGTTTCAATTAATCGCTCATCAGGTTTGTTTCTGATGTGGTTTCTTGACCATTTTTCCTTTGACTTAGTCTGATCGGTTCAGGCAGTTCATGATGCTTCAGCAAATGTCAATGTTACTAATGTTAATTTGAATACTATGCTATTGCATCAAGCTTCTATTCATGCTGAAGTATTATATACATAGTTGTAAATGGTCGGTTTAATCAACATTTGCAAACAAAATTTTCTTTCAAGTAACAAAGTGAACTCCTTAACTGTCTTCTTAAATCTTCTGCTTAACAGGAAGAGAAGGATGCAATTTTGGCGAAGACTGAAGTCTCACAAGCACATTTAGAGTTGTTAAAGCGAACTAATGTGCTCAATGATGCTTTCCCCATCTGGCATGATGGAGAGTTTGGAACTATTAACAATTTTCGTCTTGGACGATTGCCTAAAATTCCAGTAAGAATTGGCATCATTTTCCATATAGAAAATTGTTTTTTCCTGGTGGCGAAGAGTGACTGATATTCTTCTTGCTTTTGGTTTAGGTTGAGTGGGATGAAATAATTGCTTCCTGGGGTCAAGCGTGCCTCCTACTTCATACAATGTGCCAATATTTCCGACCAAAATTCAGTATCCTTTTCCCAATCTGTGTTACTCTATGTAGTAGTTCCATGAGAATCTAAGCCAGACTTTTTTTTTTTTTGTGGGGGAAGGGGTGGTTGATCAAGTTGAATGAAATCAACTCTCTTTCCATGCCATCATTTATATAAATTCCGCATGTGTAAGTTAAAATAATAGTTAAAATGTCTTGTATGCCAACTTTTATGAACTTTGTTACTTTTCATTACTAAAGTGATTTATAAAGTGATACCTTAATCGGTGACTTTTAGCTATCGGATAAAGATAATTCCTCTGGGAAGCTACCTCGCATAATGGACTGCAACAACAATACGTATGAGCCGTAAGTGTTAAGAATTTTAACTTTTTGAATGATTTGATTCAGAATCATAAAGTGCAAGTATGTGAACCTGAAAGCGTTGGTTAATTAGGGTCTCGTTAAAACCTCCCTCTAAGCTTAATTAGGGGCCTCTAAGCTTAAATAGGGGAAAAGAGTGCCCATAATAATATTAATATAAAGGAAACATTACAAATAGTTCAAATCACATACAATATCCTCTTAAAAAACCACCTAGTCAAAACCTGTAGCATCTCACTACCAAATTATAACCGATCTTGGCAGCGAACAACAACTACCCAATGCCTGCTTTCGCTAAGGAGTCCAACAACAAATTACAATGCCTAGGTATCCACCTTATACGCATGCCACAGTCCCTTATAATACCAATCAAATTTAACATCAAGCTAGATAAATTCACAGGCAGATTCGACCCATTTAAAACCCAGTCAACCATAATTTTACAACCAGATTCTACTATTAACATGTATCTTTCTCTCCACTCAGAATTCAGAAATTTACCAACTCTAACTGAGACAGCAAGAAGTTCAGCCATATTTGGTGGCTCTAACCCATAATTTTCTGAAAATTGAAAGAGGATCTCACCTTCCAAACCCCTCAAGACCCCCCCCCCACACCGCACTTATCACCAAGAGACAACACCGCCCCACCCACATTCAATTTTCACATAACCACTCGGAGAGAGAATCCATTTTAAAATAACCTGCCTCTTCACAGCTTTAAGACAATGATTTTTTACCAACAAAGGTTCTCACTGTCTCTTTTCTTCATTTTAATTCATAGTAATGCAGCTCGACTCTCAAAACTTTAAATATAGTGTGTTTCGTTAATCTTACTTTTTCAGGATCATGCAACATGAACAAAAGTGTGAGCACATCTAGTTAATTATATTCGTTGTGGGTGGCTTGGTTAAGGAGTTATATGCTCATCACTAACAATTTCTGGTCTGTTGCTGTTAAACCAGCCATGAGCTGGAGCTTAAAACAGCTTCTAAAATTGAGGACTGAAAGGTCCTCTATTTTGTCCTCTCATACTCCGAATGTTAATACTCTCTGGAACGAGATTAGAGTTAAAAATCATAAAGTTAAATGTCACTCTTTACTTTGGTTCCCACATCTCATTCCTAAGCATAGCCTCATTGTCTGGATGGCGTTTCTTGACCGTCTTCCTACGAAAGAAAGGCCTCATTGTCTGGATTGTTAATGACATGAACTGTATTTTTTGTGTTGCTGCTGTGGAAACTAGAGACCATATTTTCTTTGAGTGTACTGTTGCTTCCTCCCTGTGGTCTGCTTTATTTTCTCTTAATGGTTTACAGTTTAAACATCATTCTTGGGATGCTTTTTTCGATTTGGCTGCTGCGTGTTGGAAGGGCAAATCCCCACTAACTACCATCATGAAAATTGCATCTAATGCCTTGATTTACACTATATGGAAGGAAAGAAACAAGAGGTTGTTTCAAAGCCAATCTTCTACTGTTGCAGAAATGTTCATAGCTATTAAGGAACTGGTTGGTCTTTATCTAAGGGGAAGAAATATTAGAATACTAGGCTATGTTAATATTAATCTTTGTAACCAATGGGGCATTGTTTGATGGCTTAATTGCCTTTCTGTTTGTTGGATGCTTCTTGTAACTCTAACTCTATTGTTTTATGCAGTTTATTGCCTTTGGGTAATAAAAATTTGAATTATCCAAAAGAAATGTATTTAAAAATCTATATCTTTTCAAGATTAGAGTTAAAGAATATCATTTTGATAAATAATTAGATATGTAATTTTAAAAATCATATTTAGGTAAAAAAAGTCATTATATTATATGTTTTTTTGGAAGTCACCTTTACGTTATTTTAAAAAGGCTTAATATCCAAATAAATGCCCAAATTATACTTTTTTACCCAAATTGGTGCCTATATAATTTTTTGGCCCAAACTATGGTTTTGCTTCATGTGGTGGCATCATCCGTAATAGTGAGGGAGATTTGGAGTTTGGCAATGCAATAAAATTTCAAATCATATTAATTATTTACAAAAGAAATTTGCTTAACAAAAAGATTATTCAAATGAGACGAGGTTCATTTTTACCTGTAAATTTTTATATTATCATATATTTTTATTTCTCTTTCAATTTTAATTTTCTCATCAAACGTAAATTTGTAAATCAAAATTAAGATAAAATTTAAATCATAAAATTTCAATATAAATCTAAAAAATCAAAGACAAATATATATATATATATATAGAGAGAGAGAGAGGGATTTATGGGGATGGCAATGCAATTATTCTGGAATTGATATCTTTAAAAATGTTTTGGACGGTGGAATCTTTTAATCTAATTTTGACTTTAACTTGACAACTTCAGCTCAGCCAGTCAAAGTCTTCATCTTATCCACTCAAATTCAGCTAGGAATTGAGAATCGTGATTGAAGGGCTCTCTCTTGCTGTTTTTTATTATTAAATTAAATTTATTCTAAATCCTCTTAATTATTTGATAATGAACGTTTGATCATCTTGCTATAATCATTGATGCTCGGACATGTAATATTTAGGAATAATATTAATTTCTTTCATCATTGAGATAAGTCGATTCGTGCCTCTTGCATTTTTCTTTAGTTCAAATTGATTGAAATGTTTTTATACATGTTAGTCACCTTAGCACAAGTATGATAAAAACTATTTTTGCCTAATACTTGATTTCCTTTCATATTTTAGTTTTTTTTCTTCCTTGTATTGGTTTCTGTATTGTTTTTTGTCAGTTTATCGTACTATTATCTTATCTATTATTTTGTCTCAACAGTCATTATTGTTTGAAAACCCATTTCGCTCAATTAGATCATGCCACTTATAATAAAAACTAAAAGTATCATAAATAATGAAAAGAACTCATAAACATAAAGAATGACAAATTCAAAAGAACTCTCATAAAAATGTATAAAATTTCAAAAAGAACTATAAAAATAAAAAAATGATTTTAATTTTCAAAATTTCTATTACTAATTGCGACTCTCTGTTAAAATCAGAAAGAATAAGCTTTGTTTCCATCGATTGTTTGCCAATTAATCTGGTTAATGTTACATAAATGACATTTTAATTTGACAAGTGTTGACCATTAAACACATTCAAATAGGAGGAAATAGTTATTGCTTAATTGTTTTAAGTTTATCTTTTTAACTTTTTAGATAGCCGACAAGAAGGAAGATCCAAAGGAAAGGGCAAGACTTGGCTTGCACTCAAAGCAAAATAGAAAAGGCCGACACTTTTTCTCCATTGCTTTGAACGCCTGAACGGTGGCGTACTAAGATTGGATCCCATGGACTTATCCCAGGGTTTTTTGCAGTCTGAGCCCCGACCGACCGACATCTCTAATGTTTTCTCAAAATGCTTCTTTTTTATTTTCTCTGTCTAACAAAACAAGGGTAAAATATAAATTTTTGTAACTGAATTTTATCCTCTATGCTATTTCATTTATTGTATTATTGATTTTGTTTGATCACTCGAATGTTAAAAAATTAACGGCGTAAAAATAGACAATTATATAGATGTGAAACAAAGGAGTTTTGGTGAAAATTTTTATTTTTTAAAAAGGCATCATTTTTAATGTCGTTAATTGTTTGACGTCGGAGTGACAAAAATAGGAAAGAGATTAAAGTTCAGTGATCGAAAAATTTATTATATTAAATTTGGTGAGGAAATTGAGAACTTTTAAAGTTCAGTGAGAAAATTAGAAGAGGGTAAAGTTTATTGATGAAATTTGTAGTTTTCCCAATAAGAGAAAAACCTTGCACAGTGAATTCTAAATCAATTAAGGTGGTTTATTTTTGGGATGGGATATTCGAATCTTGAAACAGCTTTCACTGTTGCAACAGGATGTGTTGTGCGGTAAACAAATGCTTATTGTGTTCATTTTCCACTTCTGACCAAACAGCTCCTTGTCTGCCACCTAACCCCGTCTCTCCCTCTTCCTCTGCATCACTTCATTTGGCAAAAACATTAATGGAGGACCATTTTCTCATAAAGGGAAAAAACATTAGTACCATGTCCATATAGTTAAAACTTTCACTCGAAACTTCAAGCTCCTTCTTTTTTAACATCAAAGCCGATATTATGCGATGGAGACAGATGTGGATATAAATATATAATGCTGTCGTGGTGGTATTGAACTCCACAACAATGTTCAAATGGCTATGGATGGATGGCCTGTCATTTTGCGGTCACTCGACCGTTCATCCTATAAATCGATTGATGCATGGGAAAAAAATCAAAGAATTAATTTATGTGATAAACAATTTTATATCATATAAATAAGGACTCAAATTCGAATCTTGTGTATGTAAAAAATATTTATTTAAAAATGTAATCCGAATATTATATTATTCGAATCAAAATGAAGCCTTGGAAATGGAGAGTAAAAAAAACAAATAATCATCTATATTATTTGCCTTGTGCCGAGGTATAAGGAAACAGGATAAATAATTATTTCGAAAATGACGTGTCCCATTAAAATTATATTTTTTATGTTTTAAAAAATAACACTTTTACTAGATATATTTTATTTTTTTTATACTATCTTATAATTATAAAATAAAATAAATATTTATTCTCAAAAAGGATAAGGATTAAAACAAAAAAAGTTATGAACATATAGAAAAAATTATCATACCATAAAAAGATAGAAAAGCTCTACTTAATCACGGAAGGTAAGATTATGGTCCCAAGAAAAGGCGTAAAAGGCAAAGCCTAAAGAGGAAGGTCTCTCCCATTTGTTAACATCCACACCAAATCTCTTGCTTCCAAAACCCGAACCGAAGAAACCCACTTATCTCACTTGAGAACTCCCCTGAAGTATTCCAGTTCCTGTGGTTTTTATTTAAATACCAGTTGAGGAAAGTAGAAGAAATGAACAGTGGTGGTGATGCGTTCAGTATGGAGGCGCAGTACATACGGAGACACCACAGGCACGACATCAGAGACCACCAGTGCTCCTCTGCTCTTGTCAAACACATTAAAGCTCCTGCTCATCTTGTATCTTCTTCTTTCTGCTTTCTCTCTCTTTTATTTTGCCGGTTTTGTTCGGCTTTCTCGTCGTGGCTTAGGCCGTTGACTTGCTTTTCCTTTTTTACTCTCCCCTGGATCTACTAAAACTCACATCTGTTCTCACTTTGAGTTGTTCTCCAAAAGTCAAATCCTTGTTCATTTTGACGATGGGTTTGTTACATACATCTGTTCTGTTTTTTTGTTTAGCTGCTATATCCTAGAACTGTTGTTAGAAATAGTATGTGTATGTCCTTTTTTTATTATTAATTTTTCTGTTATGATGAATTATGGGATAGGTGTGGTCATTGGTAAGGCGGTTTGATCAACCGCAAAAGTACAGCCGTTCGTCAGCAGGTGTACGATGAAAGCGGACATCGGAATCGGCAGTGTTAGAGAAGTCACGTCAAATCTGGCCTTCCGGCCACCACCAGCACCGAACGATTAGAGCTTCTTGACGATGAAGAACATCCTAGGCATCAAAATCGTCGGCGGCGATCACCGCCTCAGGGTGAGTACAAACACTGTTTCTATCTTTCTTCTTAGCACTCTTCTTAGGTTGAGGTATAGTGTTAATAAATTTGTTGGCTCAGAATTATTCCTCAATCATGACGGTCCATCCCGAGGTTATTGAAGGAAGGCTTGGGACAATGGTGATCGAGTCATTCGTGGTCGATGTACCGGAAGGAAAACACCGTGGATGAAACTTGTTACTTCGTCGAGGCTTTAATCCGATGTAATTTGAAATCGTTAGCTGATGTCTCGGAGAGGATGGCAGCGCTGGACCAGACAGAGCCTATAAACCCATACTAATTGAGTCGTTATATGTTTTTTGTCCACTTTCTAACGGCAGGCTCTTTCAACACTCTTTGTTTTTGTTTCTCGCTTTCGTAGCTTTCCTTTTGACTCCGTATGTAGAAGCAGATAAGTTTATATTGTCTGGTTACCTGGTGGGTATGTACATATGTAAACAGTGGCGTGTGGTCTTATTTGTAAAGACGTAAGATTAAGATCAGAGGTGGAGACTTTCTTTATTTTCCATTTCCACAAGCTGTTGCAGCAGCACGATGAATTTGGAGAAACCGGTTCTCTTTGTTTTGTTCATTTTGGTGTCTGGTTTCTTGTTGTTTTGGTAAACTTTTTTTGGGTCACTCATAAGCGCGTTAATTTGAGTGCAGAAAGTGTTGGGACACCCTGGAAATGCACTTGCTTTTTTACTTTTGAGTCATAAAGTTGGAGAGCATTCTCACTCAAAGATCTCGTGATGATCTTTGTTAAGTTAGACCTAATCTTAGTGGAAAGTTCTCTGAATGAACTTCAAACACGTATCCATCTCCTGAGAATGCAAGTGACACCATATAGTAGAAAATATCATTTCATGTACCCGAAACTTGCAAGGATGTGATGGTTCCTAGGTTTGAATTCCATTAAAATCTTTTGCTCAAATATAACTCTTAACATTTTGATATTAAACGCTCATACCCTTAACATTTATTATGTTCAAACCTAAATTTTCAAAGAATAATAACAATTCTTTTACCTTATAAATTACTTGGTTCGTGCTTTTCAAATATAGTTAAGACCAATTTATCTCTCGTGTTATAAATGTATATGTGTTGAGACATTCAAAAAAGTTATTCACCAACATATCACACTTGATAAGATGCTAAGATAAGATCTCGATCATGCTTTTGTTGGTTTCCTCCAAAGTCATCTGTGAGCATTTAGAATCTTTACTATTTGAAATCTATCATGTTCGAAGCTAGTGATATTCTTTAATCTCTTGCCTCAGGATAATAAATGAAGATTAAAACTATAATTTTAACTCAACAATCACTTTCCAAGGGTGAAAATTACAATTTTTATTTTTATACTTGGGTTAAAAAATATTTTTTAAAAAGTTACGTGTTTAATGTTTTTACTTGGAAAATAATTTTGACCCTAAAATCAATGTTAAACAATATATTAATCAAACTTAGGGTAATAATTATTATTATTTTTTTGCTTTCTTTTGAATTAAATTAAGAGTAATATAAGGAATTGAAATGTGTAATCGAATTTGAATATTATAGTTGAATTATTTTAACTGTTTCAATTTTTGAGATAATTGTTTACACAATTTAACATGATATTAGAGCTCTTCATTTGGAATTCTATAATTACATTTCTCTTGAATAACTTTTTTTTCTTAAGCTATAATTCTTCTTTTATATTTGGTCCACACACAAATTCGTTAATAATTTACTCCATTTGTACGTTTAGAAGAGTGTTAATCATGTTTTCTAAACATGCGGGTGTTATTAATGTGGCTTATAGTATTTTTTTTATCAAAATAAGTATTTAAAATTATCTTTTTAGTCAAAATAGGTATCCAAAATTTTTTTTAGTCAAAATAAGTACCTAAAGTATTCTTTAATTAATATCACATTTCAACTATTTTGGAACTTTTTTTTATTAACTATGGTGATTACAAAGTAGTATCTGTTTTAAATACTCTCAATCATTTGACATGAATGTTGTTATTCGTTCAATCTATATCATACAACTTTCCTAGAATCTAATATAACATAATAGCCATAACTCAACTAAAATAAATTATTTAATATGTACGAATCACTTATCTAAGTAATTTATAAAATTATTATTTTTAGAGGTTTGAGGTTAAAGACCCGACTACAAAAGTGATTAGACATTAGCTTAATAAAAAACTGAGTAAATTTGTCCAAAAATCGAATCGATATACGCTCTAATATAATTTATTTAGACTGTAAAATAAGTAAAACACACGAAATTATATTAAAAAAACAGAAAAGAAAAAAGAGCAGAAGCAGATATCATGGCTGAGTAAGCTGTAATATTGTCTTATTTTACAGTGCGGTTAATTTGGTGTCCAGCAAAAGCCAGACAGCAAGGCTTCGGACTGTAATTTAATCTAGCAGTCAGAAGCCTTGATAGGAGAGTGAAAAGCGTCGCATGTCAGCCATAAAAGCCGCTTTGCTCCGTCGCAAAACGCGCTAAAGGTGGCGGAGCGAACCCCCCCCCCCCCCCCAAGTCTCCGGAGACGAGAGATGTTTTCAAAGGGTCAGTTTGAGTAAGGGATGGCTAATGCCCTTTTTATAGGCCACATATTGCATGTATTCCCTCGTTCATCGTTTCATTTCAACTCTCAACCATTGATTACCTAAGTTCCCAATCGACGTTAGAAGCTAACCAATGGTAGAATTTGATCCCACCCACATATTTCAATAGGGTA